CCGTGGAATATTCAATACTCTTCCTGAACAAGTCAAAGGCCGAAATTCTTCTGTCATCCTTATTCATTGTCCAGCTCTGAGACACACTGCAAGTGATCAGAAAGCCTGAATCAGATGTACCGTAGCCCTAAACTGACATCACTATTCCTCAATAATTTGGAGAGGTCCTTGACTGCAGACTTTCCTTGTGTACTATGTCTCTTGATTTTCTGACTGACAGTAGCAAGGATATTGACTGTGGTTCCAAAGAAGATTAAATAATTGACAATTTCAATTTTTTCTCTATCTCTCCCGATCTTGTCTATCAGTCCACTGGTAAGGATTTTTGTTTTCTTGATAGTGAGAAACAATCCACAATGAAGGCTTTAGTCTTTGATCTTCTCTAACAAGTGCTTTAAGTCTTTCTCACTTTCAGCAAGCAAGGTTGTGTCATCTGCATAAGTTATTAATAAGTCTTCCTCTTGTTGCCACATTCTTATTGATAGAGTCCAGCTTCTTGAATAATTTGCTCAGCATACGGATTGAATAGGTATGTAGAGAGGATATAATCCTGACACATGTAGGAAAACTGGATATTGTTAAGAAAGAAATGGAACACATAAATACTGACATACTAGGTATTGGCAAAATGAAAGGACTGGCATGGGACATTTTCAGTCAGATAATCATATGATCCACTATGCTAGAGTTGAAAGATGAGAAAAACTGGGGTTGCTTTCATAGTCAAAAAGTCATTCCTAGATCCATCTTGAAATATACTGTGTCAATGACAGGATAATATCCGTACAGATACAAGGAAGTCCAGTGAATACCACCATCATTCAAATAGATGCACCAATAACCAGAAACAAAGGGGAGGAAATAGACAATTTCTACCAACTTTTGCAGTCAGAGGTCCATTGAACATGCAATCAAGATGCATTAATAGTAATGGGTAACTAGAATGCAAAAGTTGGAAACAGAGAAAAAGGACTGGTAGTTGGAAAATGTAGACTTGGTGACAGAAATGAGGCTGGAGATAGAATGATAGCATTTTGTACAATCAATGACTTATTCATTGAATATATGTTTTATAAGAAACATAAACACAGGTTATACACATGGATTTCACCTGATAGTATGCATAGGAAACAGATTTATTACGTCTGTGGCAGAATTGCTGGAGAAGCTCAATACCAGCTGTGAAAACAAGGCCAGGTGCTGATTGTGGAACAGATCACCAACTACTCATATTCAAATTCAAACTGAAGCTAAAGAAAATTAAATCAAATTCATGGGAACCAAAATTTGACTGTGAGTCTACCCACCTGAATTTCAAAACCATCTCAGGAACAACTTTGAGGCCTTGAACACTAATGAGGGAAAACTAGATGAGCTGTGGGATGATATAAAGAATATCATCCAGAAAGAATGAAAAAAAGTCATTACAAAAACAGAGGAAGAATACAAGACTAAGAAGGATGTTAAAAGAGACTCTGAATATTGCACTAGAGTGCCAAGAAGCAAAAGCAAAGGGAAGAAATAAAGATATTAAGGAGCTGAACAGAAGATTTCAAAGGGCAGCATGGAAAAGTAAAGTATTACAATGAAATGTGCAAAGATCTGGAGTCAGAAAATCAAAGGGGCTGAACTTGCTTAGCATTTCTTAAGCTGAAGGAGCTGAAGAACAAATTCAAGCCTTGAGCTGCATTACTTAAGGATGCTTTGGCCAGAATATTAAATGATCTAGGAAGCATTAAAAGAAAATGGAAAAAATATTAGTCATTTTACTGAAATGAATTAGAGGACACAGAAGAATTTCATAAAACAACACATGAGTAAGGGCCTGTGGTGATGAGGGAAGAAGTTTAAGCTGCTCTGAAAGAACTGGCAAAAAAACAAGGCCCCAGGAATTGATGGCATACCAATTGACATATTTCAGCTAACAGATGCTGTCCTAAATGTGCTCACCAAATTGTGCCAAGAAGTCTGGAGAACAACCACCTGGCCAACTGACTGGAAGAGGTCTATATTTGTTCCCATTCCAAAGAAAGGTCACCCTACAGAGTGTGGAAGTTATCAAACAACATCACTGATATCTCATGCAAGCAAGATTCTGCTGAAGATTATCCAAAAATGACTGGGACAACATATCAACAGAGAACTGCCTGAAGTGCAGGCTGGGTTTAGAAGTGGCTGTGGTACTAGGTATATTATAGACAATATTAGATGGATCTTGGCTGAAAGCAGGGAGTACCAGAAGAATGTCTATCTGTGTTTCATTGACTATGCAAGGCATTTGACTGTGTGGATCACAACAAAGTATGGCTGACTCTGAGAAGAATGAAAATCCCAGAACACTTGATCGTGCTTCTGTGAAACCTATACTTGGACCAGGAGCCGGTTGTCTGAAGAGAGTAAGGAAACAGTGCATAGTTCAAAATTGGGAAGGGTTTATACCTTCTCAATCTATATGTAGAACAGATTATCCTGGAGACTGGGATATATGAGGAGAAATGTGGCATCAGGTTTGGAGGCAGACTCATCAACTATCTGAATTCTGCAGATGACAGAACCATGCTTGCTTAAACCGAGGAAGACCTGAAGTGCCTTCAATATGGATTCCAGCTCAACATAAAAAAAACAAAGATTCTCACCACTGGGGTGATTGGCAACATCATGATAGATGGTGAAAAGATTGAGATTGTTAACAGCTTTAGTTTGCTTGACTCCACAATCAACACTCTTGGCACCAGCAACCAGGAAATGAAAAGATAAATTGCATTAAGAAAGTCTGCTGACAGAGAACTCTCCAAACTACTGAAGAACAAACAATGTCAGTCTAGAGATTAAGGTGCACCTGATCCAGGCCATAGTCTTTGCAATTATTTGCTATGTATCAGAAAGCTGGACAATGACTAGGGATGATATAAGGAGAATTGATGCCTTTGAGCTGTGGTCCTGGAGAAAAGTGTTGAATATACCATGCTAGGAGAATAAACAGGTTCGTCCTAGAAAGGGTGAAGCCAGGGTGCTCCTTGAATACAGGGATTCTGAAGCTTCGTCTGGCATACTTTGGACATGCTGCAAGGAGGGACCAGTCCTTATAGAAGGACGTCACGCTTGGGAGAGTGAAGTGACAGCATAAGAGAGGAAGATCTTCAATGAAATGTATTAATTCAGTGACTGGGATAATGGGGGTAGTTGTGTCAGAGACAGTAAGATCAGCACAGGATAGAGTTTAGGGCCGTTATACATAGGGTCGCTATGAGTTGCAAGTGACTCAATAGCACATAACAACAACAACGTTTTTCTTGCTCTGTTTGCACAACAGCCTCTTGGTTTAAGTATAGGTTTTGTATGAGCACAATTAAATCCTCTAGGATTCCCATTCTTCTCAATGTTAGCTATAACTTGTTATGATCCACATAGTCAAATGCCTTTGCATAGTCAACGAAGCATAAATAGACATTCTTCTGGTATTCTTTACTTCAGTTGTGTTAATCTTCACTATATTCATAGTCTAAATTCCTTGCCCTTCTATATCCGGTGGTAGGAGATACTATTTTGAAACAATTTTTACTTGAAATTCATCACAATTGATGCTATTACAAAAATCATATCCTTTGCTATTCATTTGACTCTATAATATTGAGTAGAATTGCCTCATGACATTTTTAAGACTTTACATCTTTACAGAAGCAGGGTGCTACATAAAGCGGTAGGTGGATTTGAATTATCAACCTTAGAGTTAATACTTTGGTGTTAGCCTGAAAGATATCTTTTTTGAGCCATTAGTTTGCCTCTCTGGTCTCTACCTACCTAATTGCAGACGCACGGTCTTGCAAAACAGCATGGTCTTGCTAATTATCAACCTATGAAGCAGCAAGATAAAGAGTACACTCTCCACACTAGAGGGTGTGTGAAAACACCAAAACAGGAGCGGCAGCATCATTGTATCTAAGCTTCATGCTACATCCCGTCTGGCCCATTGCTCACCAGTTTCTACTAAAAACCTGGCCTATATACCTACAGTCTCATGAGTCATTGTCCTAGGGGAGTCTGAGTCCCTGGAGGATTTTCTAGTAATTCTTCAAACTCACAGGAAATAGAGGAATTGAAGAACTAAGCCACAGATCGTTTTGTTAATAGAAAGTATGGACTAATAAAACTGGTTAAGCATTTGGGAGTATGCTGACCTCAGGCTTCTCATAAATAGCCTGCTATTCATCTTAGCAGGACAAAATTATAGAAACAATACTCCAGCACTTAATTATTTTGAAACCAAAAGCTCAGCTAGTGGTCAATTAGCTAGGTTTACTACTGCATAGTAAGTAGGAAGACTAAAAAAAGAATGCTGAATACATGATCTGTATACAAGAACAGAGTATACCTAAAATGGACCTAGAAGTCAGGATGGTGAGTCTCACATATTTTGGGCACATTATCAGCGGAAGCCGATCTCTGGAGAAGTACATAATTCTTGGTAAAGTAGAAGGGAAATGAAAAAAAAAAAGGAAGGCCATCAAAGAGATGTACTTTATGAAGAACCACACTTAAGACTACTTATTTTCTTGGGTTTTTCCCTATCTCCTCCAGGGGTATTGTACATCATATAGTTGATAAAACACACAAAATAAATTTGGGACTGTCACTCTGAGTGTGTGTGTTCTAATATATGCATCCTTTGATTTAACGGTTTCCTTATGAACATTTATCTTACTAAATTGCTCTTTGAAATACGCAATAATATCCATTATTAAAACACTGATTAAATAAAGGCATATGCCTTGGCTGGAAATCAAAAAACAACAAAAAGAAATGCACCAGCACAGAGAAACAATGGACTTAAGCCCAGAAATTATGAGGATGGTACATGAATAAGCAGTATTTCATTCTTAAGGTAGTTAAGGAAGCTATGATTTGGAACTAACTATACAGCACCTAACAGCAACACCAAATGCAAATTTAGGTGGCTTTACTCTTTAATTGTAATTTAAAATATAATTAAAACCACTTACTTCTTTCCTGGTTCTTGCAGCTGCATCTTGTAGAAGTTGAGAAATGGTTTCTTTCATTTTCTCTAAATCTTCTTTTTTTTGTTTCTCTTCAAGTAAGGCCTTTAGAAAATAATTTCTAGTTATTATGGGTCATTTAATTTTTTAAAAAGATAATACAAATGATGGGTAAAAACCTATTCATTTATCAATTTCTTGAAAGCAGATATCATCTTCTAAACTTCTGAGACCTATCCACTTAGAGAGCTCACCTAAGTCAGGAATAAAATTTAATCTATGAAATTTACCTCCTTATTTATCCTGGATTTAACTGAAATCTTTATTTCTTTGATATCTAATTAAGGTAGCATGTCCATCACATTTCTAAACACAACTGGAATTGCCAGAATCATTTCATTTTCATTTTCTTCCCTTCCAATATAAAATAAGTTACCAAATAAAGGTATTAGGTATATGGAATAATTCCTGGATTTCCATTTTTATTATTTGCCATCATTCCAAGTGGGCCTCTCATCATCTCATCCCCAAGACTACCACAGATAACCTACTTTGTCTCTTTAATGTAGTTCTATCTCTACAAACACTTCCATTGCCCAACTAAGGAGCCAATTTCAAAATCCTAATTTTGCTGTCAGGGAATCCCTGTGGAAAAAACTCCTCTAAAGTCAGCTTGATGCCTTTGAGTTGTGGTGTTGGAGAAGAGTATTGAACATACCATGGACTGCCAAGAGAACACATCTGTCCTTAGAGGGTGAAACCAAACTACTCCTTGGAAGCAAGGATTTTGAGACTCGGTTTCATATACTTTGAGCATGTAGCCAGGAGGGACCAATCTTTGGAAAAGGATATCATGATTGGAAGGGTGGAGGGACAGCACAGGAGAGAAAGATCTAAGATGAGATGGATTGACACAATAACTGAGGTAATGAGGATAGGTGTATTATAGACAGTGAGATTGATTTTTGATAAAGCAGAGTTCAAAGTTACTGTGTGTAGCATATCTATTAGTTGTAGTCAACTTGACAACACATAACAATAACAAAGTCTGCTTCCATCCATTCTTACACTTACTCAAATCAAGTTCCTATAATTTGAGTTAATTTTGAGTAGGCATTTATCAGCAGCTTTGCCATACTTGATTATCTGACTTTTAGCATACTATAGAACTTGCTTTCCTCTTACCCCACTAATCATTCTTTTTTAATTTGTATTGCTGGTTCCTCCTTTTATCCCAAACTCCCCAAAACTGAACTACTCAAGGCTCGGTTCCGTGCTTCTATTTGTAGGTTCAGTCATTGCCTCTACTTGTTGGTTGTCTAATCTAATCTCATGGTTTTAAGTATCATTTATATGTTGACAATACTCAAACATTTATCCATCCCAAAATTTTTCAGCGCTCCGAATTGCTGTGATTGCTGTTGTTCTTATGTATCATCAAGTCAGAAATGACTCACAACTGGCATTCCAATGGGTTTTCAGAGTCAGTAAATCGCCTCTTCAGGAGGAAATTCTCCCGTCGAGCAGCTGGATGATTTGGACCTCAAGCCCTTGGCTGCTAGAGCTCTAACATAAATATTGTTTAGGACTCTGAAAATCTTTGACTAGTTCTAATTACATCTTGATATTTAATTACTTCAAAATAAATGGCCCTCTGCTCTGTTTTCGTTGTTGTGGTTGTTGTATATGCCATCAAGTCGTCTGTGACTCATAGTGACCCTATGAACAACAGCTCTGAAGCCTGCCCTGTCCTGGGCCAGTCTCAGTCTGACTCCGACACACCTACCCCATTGCCCTAGTTACTCACTCTCTCTCTTTCTCTCTCTCATTGGGGTCTTCCTCTCCTGTGCTATCCTTCCACCCTTCCAGGCATGATGTCTTTCTGCAAGGATCAGTCTCTCTTGGCCACATGCCCAAAGTATGTGAGATGGAGCTTCAAAATCCTACCTATGAGGTAGAAACTTGGTTTCACCCTAAGACAGACATATTTGTTTTCTTGGTGGTCTTTGGTATGTTCAAGACTCTTCTCCAGCATAACTCAAAGGCATCAATTCTTCTGTCATCCTTAGTCACTGTCCAGTTCTCTGATGCATATATTCAGTAATTGCAAAGACCATGGCCTAGACCAGGTGTACCTAAGTCTCTAGAATGACACTGCTGCTTCTCAGTATTCTGGAAAGATCCCTGACAGCCAATATACCTAATGCAATTCATTTTTTGATTTCCTGAATGCTGGTGCCAAGAGTGTTGATTGTGGAGCTGAGAAAGCTGTAGTTTTTAATAACCTCAATCTCTTCTCCATTCATCATGGTGCTGCCCTTTGGTCCAGTGGTGAGAATCTTTGTCTTTTTATTTTGAGCTTCAATCCATAATGAAGACTACAGTCCTTGACCTGCTGCAGCAAGTGCTTCAGGTCCTCCTCAGTTTCAGCAAAGAAGGCTGTGTCATGTGCACAATGTAGGCTGTTGTGTCTTCTTCCAATGCTGATGCCACATTCCTCCTCATAAAGCCCATTTTCCAGGACCATCTATTCTGCCTATAGTTAAGAAGGTATGAAGACAGGACACATCCCTGATGCCTTCCGTTCCTGATTTTGAATCATGCAGTGCTTTTCTGCTCTGTTCTGGGGAGAGCTTCCTGGTCAAGTATAGGTTTCGCATAAGCACAATCAAGTATTCTGGGATTCCCATTTTCCTCAAGGTTAACCACAATTTGTTGTAATCTATGCAGTCAAATACCTTTACATAATCAATGAAACACAGATCTTGGTTTTCTGCCAAGATCCATCAGTCATTGGTGCTAATGGCCTCTTTTAAACCAAGCTTGTATTTCTGGTAGTTCCCTGTCAATGTATTATTTCAGTCATTTCTGGTTGCGTGTAATATGAGTGATACTGTTTGATAATATCTATACTCTGTCGTGTCACCTTTTTTTGGAATGGGAATAAATGTGGATATCTTCCAGTCAGTTGGCCAGGTAATTGTCCTCCTGATTTCTTGGCACCACCTGTGAGCACATACAGGGCAGCATTAGTTTGCTGAAATACGTAAATAGGTATTCCATCAATTCCTGGGGCTTTACTTTTTGCCAAGTCTTTCAGAGCAGACTGAACTTCCTCTGTCACCACTGCCTCTTGATCATATGTTGTTTCTTGAAATTTTTCTTTGTCTGCCAATTTTTATTTATTTATTTATTTTGGTACAGTGACTCTGTATACTCATTCTATCTTCTTTTAACACTTCCTGGATCATTCAGATATGCCATACACATGTCCATCTGCTTTTATAAAGTAGTTGAAAATAAATATGCCACTCTAAAAATAAATGAGTAAGAGTAACAATTTTTGTTGAGTACCGTCGAGTCATAACTGACCAAAAGCCGACCCTCAGCGGGTTTTCAGATGCATTAAATTGCACAGAGGAGACTGCCCATCTTTCTCCCAGGGAGTAGTTGGTGGACTCAAACAGCATCTTTCGGGTTGGCAATGCAGCTCGTTACCCCTGAGGAGAACGGGACATTGAGGAAAGAGGACATACCAAGAGAAGACTGAACCTAGGAAGTTAAGAAGGATTGCTAGGCTATGTTTTCTGCAATGGGGAAAAAAAACCCAAGAAAGGTTACAAATCATAGCAACCCTGTAAGATAGGGGAGAAATGCCCCAATGGGCATATAAGACTCTAAATCTTTAGAAAGCAAACTACTTCATATTCCTCTAATGGTGTCACTAGTGAATCTGAACCACTGATCTTAAGGTATAGCAGACCAAGCTTAATCTACCAGGCCAACAGTTCTTTTTTAAAACCAGTACTTTACTGTAGTATATACCATACAGTAGTCACTTTAATCAGATAAATCTTAGTCATCTTTATTTCCTTTTCAAACCTAAATAAACAATAAACTTGATGAGATGGATTGAAATAGGTGGGACAATGAGGGTGGGTGTGTCAGAGACAGTGAGATTGGCTCAGGACAGAGTAGAATTCAGGGCTAAGGTACATAAGGTCACTACGAATCATACTGGAGAGCACTTAATAACAACAACATCAATTCCACTCATAGTGATACCCTCCCTGTTTTCTGAGACTGTAAAGCATTATGGGAGGAGGCTGTTCATCATTCTTCCAAGGACTGCCCCATGAGTTTGAACTGCAGCCCTTTTCACTTAGGAGCCCAGCACGTATGTATCACACTACCAGCGTTCCTTCAGGAAATGTCCCATGTTTTTATTCTTTATCAACATGTTGATTAGTTTTCTTACCTTATTTTTTTGAAGGTTAGCTTCTTCTAAGAGTTGTATGCTATTTCTAGCTCTTACAATAGCTTCAAATTTCTCATTTTCTAATTCAGTGCACTTTGCTTGTAACTCTCTGCTCTGTTTTTGCAGATGTGTTTTCTCTGCTCTTAGTTCGTTGGCTTCTTGGATTGTCACACATAATCTAGAAGTCATAATTACATTTTAAAGTTAATATTTTTAAAGTGAGGAAGGAAGGTACATGATTCACTGGGCATTTAGTATAGGCCAAGCATTATGTCAGCTACTTTCACATATATTTCCTAGCTTGATCCCAAGAACAACTGTGTAAAGTGGGTTCTATAATTCCAATTTTTTAAAAACGTATCAGATCGAAAAAGGTTAAGCAGCTGATTACAGTCCCATGGCTAAAAAGCAGTGAGGCTGAGACCTAACCTAGATAATCTGCCTCTAATTTTGCTTATCTTTGTACAGTATCAAACTGTATTACAGTAAATCCATAATGAATAAGTTGTTCTTCATATTTTCCCCATTTCCTTTGTTGCTTATTTCTCCTTTCCTAGTTTTTCAAACTGTCTTTCCAGGTAATCTATGTTAGCTTACTAAAATAAATCTTTGAAAGTTGTCTCCATGCTCATATAACTACATACACATGAAATACATATACACATCTGTCACAAAGGGTTTTTAGACAAAACTCTTTATGTTATAAAAAAGAAAATAATAGTATACACCTTGTCCTGAATTTGATTTCACTATTCAAGAATATTTTGAGGAAATCTTTTCAAGCAATGTATCCAAAAGGTCCCCCCTACTCTGATCAAATTTAATTTTTAATTTGCATTTTTCTGACTACTAGAGATTTAAGAATATTAAGCATATTAAGTTACTTAGTGATATTAGAAAATTTGCTTTTAAATTTCCTTTTCATACCCTCTGCTGATTTTTCTGATGAGTTACTTGTTTTACCTTTTAATTTATAAGAACTGAGTGCAAATATTTTTTCCTAAATCTACTTTTTCCTTCTTTTGCATATTGACTTATTTAAGAGAGTCTTTACCACATTAAAACTTTTACTTTGGTATAGCCAAAAATTTTGTGTGTATACCTGAGATGTCAGTCTTTATTAAAAAAAAAGAAGAAGTTTTTTTCTTATCCAGATTATTCATTTAATCTCCTAGATTTCCTCAAAGGTTGATATGATGTTAAGTTTTGGGAGGTTTCTTGTTGTTCGCATGTTTTTAATCTATCTAGAAGTGAATTCTAAAGGTAACATAAAAGAGGAGTGCAATTTAACTTTCTTCCAGAATAATGAGCAGCTAGTTATATGGAAAGAGTATTGAATATACCATGAACTGCTAGGAGAACAAACAGGTCCTTCCTAGAGAGGCTCAAATCAGGCTGCTCCTTGGAGGCAAGGATTCTGGAGCTTCGTCTGACATACTTTGGGCAAGTCATAAGGACTGGAGAAGGACATCCTAACTAGTAAATGTAATGGCTTTATAACATATCCTTTTCACTTGGACATATTATAAAGCCATTGTATTTAATAGTAGGCATATAGATCAATAAAATAAAGATCAGTAAAGGATGATAATCTATAAGTAAATTATAATATTTCAGGTTAAATGAAAGTTGCATTTCATAATTTACTAACGGAGCACATATAGCTGTTGTTATGTGCCGTTGAGTCACTTGCGACGCATAATGACCCTATGTACAACAGCTCTTAACCCTAATTTATCCCGAGCCAACCTCATTGTCTCTGCCACATGAAGCCACATTACTCCAGTCACTGAATCAACTCATCTCATGGAGGGTCTTCCTTTCTTGAGCTGCCCCTCCACGCTCCCAAGCATGATGACCGTCTCCAAGGACTGGTCACTCTTGCAATATGCCCAAATTATGTCACATGTGTGGTTCAAGGCCAGCAGCTACTCCATTGCAGAAGGACGGGCAATCTCATGCTGTGTGATTAACTGCCTCTGAAAATTACCAGAGGGTGAGGTATGGGTCAGTTCCGACTCTACACACAACAACCCTCTCTTTCTCCAACCCACATCAAACATAGAAGCACCAGAAGGAAATATCCCTGCTCCAAGCATACCTTCCATTCCTTCAATATTAAAAACGCAGATAATCTGGTTCATTTTTTGTTCAATTCCTCTACATTTTAAAAAAAATTGTTACTGGTATTGATAGATTTGCTCAATTCTGAACAAAATATGTTATGGCCTGTATCTTTTAGGGTTTCTAGAAGGGACTTGGCAGATGTGAAGGGTTGTCCTGGTGGAGGGTGGAGCTGGAAAGTAAGTGGGTCAAGGGACTGGGCTAGGGGTGGGGTCAACACTGTAACTAATACTTAACTCCACAATAAGTGATTTATCTTTCACTGCTCCACAAATTGCTTGTCTGTCAGATACTCCTCTAAATCTGAACATTCAGATTAAGAAAGACTAGGAAGAAGGACTGGCCACCCACTTCTGAAATAGCAGGCCTCTAAAAACCCTATGCACAACAGAACACATGCAGACTAACAGAAAGGGCAACTTAGGCAGAACTATCAAGTATGGAAATACAAAGGAGGAGGAACAGTTGT